CTGCTATGACATTTGACTTGTATTGGCTACCTCTTGGTACAGATTACCCCTTGCGTACCTGCTTTCTAACCAGGTCTATGTCGTTAATATAAAACACCATTTGGGCATGGACTCCTTTAAGTGGCATAGTATTGCGCCACTCTGCAACTGATCTTTATTTTGTGCTAAGGATCTGTTGTACTTTGTATCTTCATTTGTTGCGCGAAAATTCGCCGTTAAGGCCGCATTCGCATCGCGCCTGTGTCCTCTTCATTAGTCACTTGTTTTGCTCTGTATTCGCAGGTGGCCATTGCCTGTTGTAAATGGCCGCTTTGAGGACCAAATTGTGCACACATTTTTTCGGTTGCAGGGTATTTAGGTGGTGTCCTACCAGCCACACAGTAACTAGATATTTTGATTGTCCACTAATACCATGCCTTTGTTTATTAGCTTCCATAGACCCACATTATAAACTTATTTCTCTTCTATTAATTGCCATCATGCATTTATTATTCTGACTAGGCTGTTCACTAATGATGGCTTTATTACTTCTCACTTCTCTAGACTAGCCTGCTATGGTGCATGTTGTATTATTATACATTTTCTTAAGAAGGATATTTTTCCCTGGAAACATCGTTTACCTGTAGACTGTCTCCTTCCATAACTGCTTCCCCATTACTGCTCCTTTTTGCTCATTTTGTCTTTGCTGTTGGTCATTGAATGCAATTCTCTGCTGCATCTGCTATACCATTACCTGGTATCTGCCTTCCTCTGCAATTATGCCAGTTTTGTTATTCCACTGTACCCGTTTAGAAGGCGTGGCATGGTTAGTTTGGTCAATTTATTACTTTTATCTTGCTACGTTTACCATTGTTTCCTGTACCATGCTACGCTTGTGCCATAGTTTGCAGGTCTTTGTTTTTTTTGTAACGTCAGTGTGTGATCTCAGGCCACTCCCAGACAGGCTGCACTCCTGTTCCCCGGTCGTTCTGCGAATAGGAAGCGTCGTCATATTGGTCTTTCCACTGAATTTGTGCCTACCACGCCTCCTTCGAGAAGTTCTGTGAGGCGTCGTGCGTGCAACTTTGATAGACGGGGACGCTTGCACCCACTGCTTGATTCAGAAGGTGAACTTGACTCATCCGAACTGGACTTAAGAACTCCTGAAGACTTAACAGCCAGTTCGCAGACTCAGCCTCCTGTTGCGTTGGATGGTGATTGTTCGTTGCCTGATGTGACTCTACCACCTTCACAACAATCAGACTTCAGTCGAATTATCGATCATGGTTTCCCTGACTGTGAATGCCAATACTGTGGTGCACGGTTCTGGTATGAAGAGCGGCTTAACAGGCATGCATCTCTTGCTCCTGTTTTCACGCTTTGTTGTCAAAAGGGACGAGTACGCCTCCCATTCCTACAGGAAACTCCTCAGTACCTTGAAGACCTCTTGGGTGTTAATGCCGGGTCCTATGGCAGCGCACTTCAGGGAACATATACGCTCCTATAATGCTGCTTTTTCTTTCACATCTTTTGGAGCACGGCTTGATCCGAGAGTTACACGTTCACGAGGACCTTATTCATTTGTGATATGCGGAGAAAATTATCATCGAATGGGATCTTTGCTTCCTGCTGCAGGCCAGAGACCTAAATATTCTCAGCTATACGTCTTTGACCCGCAGACCGAACTAGCAGATCGACTCTCCAATTTCTCTTCTGCTGAAAGGTCCCTGCGTCCTGATATTGTTTCTGGTTTAATGAAGCTGTTTGACGTGACAAATGAATTAGTTAAGTCTTTTAGACGCATTCAATCTGAATTGAATGATCCAGCATCAATCAATTTAAGACTGCGTATTGTTGGTGCACGGGACACAACATCTCGACAATATGAACTTCCAACTGGTTCAGAATTGGCTGGACTCATTCCTGGTGATTTCTTGCCTGATAAGGAAGAACGAGACATCATTATTGATCATCGGTCAGAGGGCCTGAAGAGGATCACAAGTGTACACCCGAAGTTTGATGCTTTGCATTTTCCAGTCCTTTTCCCATACGGAGAAGATGGATTCCATGTAACCATACCGTATGATCCTGTTCATACTCCCAAAACATTGAAAAGGAAACATGTGACTCAGAGAGAGTACTATGCTTACCGGCTTCAGCACAGAGACGACGAAGGTCAGACATTGATGCGAGGTGGGAAGGCACTTCAACATTACGTGGTTGATGCATATTCCACAATTGAACAAAACCGACTCTATTATTTGCGATCGCATCAAGAAAACCTCCGTTCTGAACTATACTATGGCCTTACAGATGCTTTCAACAGAGGTGATGTTACAGGAGATGCTGTTGGCCATGTTGTTCTGCCATCATCGCATACTGGAAGTCCTAGGTATATGAAGCAACTATACTTAGATGCAATGGCTGTTGTCCACCATCATGGCAGCCCCGACCTATTCATAACCTTTACGTGCAACTCCCAGTGGCCAGAAATAACAGAATCTTTCCGCACTGTCTGTGGTGCACGCAGCGAACTAAAACCAGAGATTGTTGCTAGGGTCTTTCGCATGAAACTGAATGCACTGGAAGATGAATTAACACGAGGCCATTTTTTTGGTCAAACAGTGGCAGGTTTGTTCGGTTGCCTTCTGTCTTACTTCCTTTTACAATTGCCTGTTATCAATTCTCCTTTTCCTGTTACTCTAAACTTCCTCACTTACCTCATGTTTTGTGCTCTAGCATAAATGACACATTTCGTTGCCTTATAATTCCAGGTATCAAAACCGTCGAGTTTCAGAAACGGGGTTTGCCCCATGTTCATATACTTTTATGGTTGGATGCAAAGAATAAGCTACGACAAGTTTCTGATTTTGATGCAACTGTTAGTGCTGAACTGCCAGATCCATTACTAGATCCAATTGGGTATGATGCTGTGACAAAGTTTATGCTGCATGGTCCGTGTGGTCAAGATAATCCGACCAATGTTTGCATGAAAGAAGGATTGTGTTCAAAGTATTTCCAAAACCGTTTAATTCAGAAACTACAACGGACCAGTTTGGCTATACAGTCTATCGCCGTCGCGATACAGGTATAACAGCAGTGAAAGGTACAGCTATACTAGACAACCGGTTTATCGTTCCATATAATCGGAATTTACTTGTGCTGTTTCAAGCTCATATCAATGTCGAGGTCTGTCATCAAGGCCGCTTGATTAAATATTTGTTTAAGTACATTACAAAAGGGCCTGATAGATCCATGGTTCTTGCTGAAACTGCTGGCTTGTCTGTGTCTGATTCTGCTACCCCAAACCATATCCCTCATTGGACGAAATTAAACAGTTTCTTGATTGTAGAAGTCTGTCTTCATATGAGGCAGCGTGGCGGATCTTTGAATTCCCTGTTCATGAACGAACACCGCCGGTTCAGCGGTTGTGCGTTCATCTTGAAGGGAGACATTATGTTCCTTATAGGAAGAAACAACGGCTGTCTCGAATACTTGCCCGCGATTCTGTTTCAGAGACAACATTGACACAATGGTTTTACCTTAACCAACGAGATCCAACTGCAAGGGATCTACTTTATGCCGAGACTCCGAATCGTTATATATGGAATGTGAAAACAAAAAAATGGGCTCCGCGGAAAAGAGGGTTCTCAATTGGAAGAATTGTCTATATCCATCCAGGTTGTGGTGATACATTTTATCTCAGACAACTTCTTACCAAAGTTCGTGGGGTCAGTTAGTTATGCAGATCTTCGGACAGTCCATGGATTCCCATGTAGAACATATCAAGATGCGTGCCAGCGCCTTGGTCTTTTGTCTAACGATGATGAATGGTTACTTGTGATTAAAGAAGTCAGCCAATGGGGCATGTGCCGCTTGTTACGATACCTCTTTGTGTCCATGCTGATGTTCTGTGAACTATCAAACCCACTGCAGCTTTTCAATCAGACATGGGAATTGCTTTGCGAAGACATCACATATAGGTGCCAACGAGACGTTTGCTTCAACAACAACCTCATACCAACTGAATTGCCCAAAAATAAATTGTTGTGGGAATTGCAGCACATGTTACATGCTTATTCAGCCACGTTATCTCATTTTAACCTTCCCTTGCCAACAGATGATCACCCACAAACTGATCCCTTGCTTCAGTTTGGAACTGATTCACATCCTGGTACTTTAGCTGCTGTGGATTCCCCACCTCCTGTAGTTGGTGATCTTAACAGAAAGCAACTTGAAGCTTGTCATTGTGTAATGGAATCTGTTATGTCTCCAACAGAAGACTCGCCTACATTCTACTTTCTGTATGTCATGGAGGAACAGGCAAGACTTTTCTCTACAAAACTATTCTTGCGCAACTTAAAGAAGCTGGAAAAATAGTTTTGGTAGTTGCTTCTTCAGGAATTGCAGCAACATTACTTCCTGATGCAAGTACAGCTCACTCTCGGTTTAAAATACCACTGGAAATCGATCATGGTTCTTCATGTAATATCAAGAAAGGTACGCCATTGGCTCAATTGATCATTAATGCATCGCTTATAATATGGGATGAAGCCCCAATGGTTCACAGATTGTCTTTTGAGGCAGTAAACAGAGCTTTTGTGATATTATGGATGTTCCGTTTGGTGGTGCACACTATAAACCCGTTTGGTGGCAAAGTTGTTCTTCTTGGAGGCGATTTTCGTCAAACGCTTCCAATAGTAGCTGATGCTGGCAGAGAAGAGAGTATTGATTCATCTCTGACCTGTTCCTTTTTGTGGCAACATTGCACTGTGTTGCACTTAACTGAAAATATGCGCGTGGTTGCTTCCCGGGAGAGTCAAAGGTCAACTTTTGGTGGCATGCCCTTTACCGAATGGACTCTTGCTGTGGGAATGGGAATGTGCCAGGAAAATCATTTCCTTCTAACCAATCTACTGATTGGATAGAGATTCCGGAATCATTACTGCTTCCTTCTTCAGGAAATCCCATCCATACGATTACGTCTACAGTCTATCCTGACTTTGCTCAACGGTTCCATAATGTATCGTACCTCACTGAAAGATCCATTATCACACCGACCAATGCAAATGTCACAGAGATCAATTTCTCATATGTTAGCTCTGATTCCGGGAATGCCACGCACATATTTTAGTGGTGACAGTCTTCATACAGATGCAAGCGATCCAGACCGACTCGAAGCTGAATATCCCACTGAATTCCTTAATTCCTTGTCCTTCAATGGCTGCCCTGAACATCAGATTGATCTCAAGGTATTTGCTCCAATTATGCTGTTGAGGAATCTAAACCCATCCATTGGTCTTTGTAATGGTACACGCTTAATGGTGCTCTATTTGGGCCATTATGTGATAAAAGGAATGATAATGGGGGGTACATTCAATGGTAAGACTGTGGCAATTCCAAGAATTGTCCTTAGTGTCAATGATTATCGTTGGCCATTTGTTCTTAAGCGCCGGCAGTTTCCAGTACGATTGTGCTACGCCATGACAATCAACAAAAGCCAGGGCCAGACATTGCAAAATGTTGGTGTGTATCTGCCGAAGCCAGTGTTCAGCCATGGCCAACTTTATGTCGCTGTTTCTAGAGTTAGAACACCAGATGGACTTAGGTTCCTTATATGAATGAAGATGGCGTGCCTTCCAACTGTACCCGAAATATTGTTTACCAGGAAGCATTCGTTGACCTTCAGACCCCATCTTCCTAACTAGAGGTATTCCTTTCAATCTGGTACATTGAATCTTTTGTAGATTGCTTGCTCAGCATCCTCCTGGAACTGAAATGTATCTTCTAACGTTCATATTCGTTGCTGCCTTTATCTTTCACAGGTCTGGTGCGGATCTCTCGAACCAAAGAATCCCATGTTGCTGTTCGTTTTTGGGTTGTGGCCTCTATCTTATAAAGGCAAAACAAGTGTTTCGTTTCCAGGGATTCAAATTACCAGTTCGCAGAGGGTTTGTCGGATGGGTACTTTAGGCAATCCACGTTTAAATAAACCTGTTGCGTTTCACCTCCAACACATTCTGCCGGTGGACCGGGACAGTTTTTAATATAGTCGGGCCGGCCTGTTGCCCCCTGAAGTATCCAGCCCAAACTTTTTCCCCCTTGACGTATCCGGCCCAAACCCTTCTCCTTGACGTAGTTGGCCCAAGGACTGCTGGTTAAATGTTTCCATCGGAATCTGACGGAAACCATATTCAGCTGCCGCGATGCTATCTTTTAGCTGGAAAGATGCCCTTATTTCCTATGTGGCTCATGCAGTAATCGGGCCAGAGTTGTTTGCAAAACCCATGGCAAATGACTACACACAGCCGGGCTAATACATTTCAAATGCATCTAACTAAATTGGCCCTGTGGGGGGTTTTCCCTTTTGTTTGGGCGGCTACCTAAATGGTCTGCCAGCGCGTTCCAACTCTAAACTCTAGAATACACTAATTTACAAGGAATTTACTAAAGAGCAAGGAATGTGACAGTTAACAAAGAACACAATTATATGATCCTCAGAATATGGTCACATGAAGGACCACCGCAAAAGGATAATACCCTTTCAAAAAAATGTGCCCCACATATTCACTACGCGGTTAGATAATTCGAAACTAAAGTGAGGTCGACCATTACTAACATTAATCCGATTAGCCTACTACTACCCTACGCTACTTAGTCTAAAATCGGGAACAACTTAACCAAAAAGACATTAAGACGATTCTCCACGTTGTTCCAAGGTCCGAATGTCAGCAAAGCACTATATGGGCCCTCACCAATCCTGTTGAGTAGTGGAATGTACTCCATATCTTCCATCTCATCAGGACCAACAGCAGCAGACATGACTCGCCGTAAGTAAGTTGATGGACATACGAGCTCAATACCGGTGGTAAAATCTTCAATTGTCACGTGCAACATGTATATGCCGGAGTCGGCATTCCAAGATCTCCTCACTTCTTTGACCCACCCATTCAAAATGTATGACTTGCCCTGGTACAATACAAAACAAAAGGAATTCAAAACAAGACCCCATTAGATGCAAATTCTTTAGAGGAAATATAGCTTCCGGCTAGATAAAATATATGTTATCTGATTCACCTGATTAGCAACATCCAATTTGCATAGGGATAAGTTCATCCGTTTCTATATGGTCCCAAATTCGTACGGCAACTTCATATCGCAAATTTGAAACGAAGTCTCCCATGGAAAAGAACCTATAATTTAAATTAGTAGCAATATTAGCAACTCTATCAACAAATGTTAGAGCTATACAACTAATCAACTAAATATGTAAACCCGAATGTGCACAAACAATAGCAACACAATACATGAATGTGTCACTACAAGCATACAAAGTTTCCTTGGAGTATCGAACTAAAAAAAAACAAACTATTCTGAATGATAACATTGTATTAGCTCTGGAAAAACCTAATTTGAAGGCCGGCAAACGAATGTAGTTGATGAGCGGTCTGGAAAAAGTGGCATCAATTCTTGATGAGAGGAAAGGGAAGTTTTTGCCGAGGTAGGGTTTTAGAGATTACCCTGTAGAGATGCTGAGGTAGGACTAACGTCGATCAGGCAGAGAGAAGGCCTGGAAAATGATTGCATGCACTGGAATGGGTTCACAGTTGCTTTGGTGGCCGGAGAGTGAGCAGAGCAGAAAAAAGCGTCAGGGAAAAAGGGAGGTGAAACGTCCTAGGATGGGTTTTAATGCGGTCAGATTTGAACACTTACCTCCTGGAAATGTAGAGATGGTACTAATATCGGTCAGTCAGGCAGCCCTGGATCATGAGTGCATGCAATAGCTTGGATGGCCTGATTTCCTTCTCGGCGGCGAATAAACAGTACCGTCGTGCTTCGGTGGCGTTGTTGAAGTCCACGCGAGTGGTGACTGGACGCTAGGTTGTTCGCCGAGGGAGAATAGCGAACCGTATGGAATATGTCGGGGTTTGCGGCGGGAGCGGGAATCAGGAGAAGCAGAAGATGGCGGGTTGGCGATGTGGATGGTCAGGTTTCTGTGGAGGGCCTGGAGGGTAGGTGAGAGCGATGGAGGAGGGAAAGGAAGAAGGGAGTTAAACCGTCTTCGGGTGGGTGGGAGGTTTTTATTGTTTAGCTTTATTTTACTTTTTATATTTGCTTGATCGAAACGTGGACATGACTGTCCATTTGGTTTGAATTTTTTGCCCTTCAACCAAACACAACTCAATTGGAAAGCAAGTTTTTCGTTTGATTTTTTTTAAACCAATAAGCAACTTAATGCCTTTGCCTTGGTTAAAACTGAAAAAACAATAGAACCCATGAATAATACATTATTCATCCGCAAGGTTGTTCTTTTGAAAAAAACAAAAAATCCCCTTTTGCCACGCATACCAACCAATAATTTGTGCTGCCTATACAGATATGTGCTTGTCAAGTCATAATAAATAAATGAACACCTAACTCTTCTTTTTTATTCAATGATACGAGTGATTAATTGCCTAACAAATTCGCTACTTCAAAATGGTATTCATTTATTTAAAAAAGCAGCCAACCCTAGCGATGCATTGTTAATTGATTCATGTTTATGAGGAAATGACAACCTAATTTCAACTCCTCCTCACAACCAACAACCCGCTACTAAAAGGGATCGTCTTAAGCAACATAGTCTTGCGACTCATTTGGTAGTACATTAAATCAATTTGAAGGTCTTACAACATCATACTAATTTCATCTGTGTATTTCACTTGCATGAATACTCACCATTCAAGCACAAGTGCACATATTGATCGCTCGAGTTCCAAAAAACCTTTACTCTGAGAAAAACGTCATTGGGATGGATGTCTTGCACTATCCCGATTAAATCTTCCCGTGTGTTAAATGTACATTACCGAAATAGAATTCCCTGTTATTATAGTTTAATTGATCAATAAAAAACAAATGCTCAATGAAGTGGCAGAAATGTGCCACACCCCATTCCACTCTCCCAAACTTTTATTGCCGCCAGTGTAATGGGAACAGTTCAGTTTAGGATATGTGGTTTTTTCCTGTACACTTTTCTAAGGTAGATAGCTACATATATGGACCCATTCTACATAACCAAATGAAACAACTATTTCGCAAGGGCCTGTTAGACATGACAGCCCATTTATAGCCCACAACAAGAACTCATACGTCACTGTCGTTTCCCCTAATCAACCGTGGAGGAGATTTCGGCCCACATGGTTTTTTTGTGGTCCTTGGACACTGACAGTCGTTTTTACTCAGCCTGAACAACCACCTACTTCCTTTCGTGTATAAGGAACTCTGGATTTCTAATTCAATAAGTGCTATGCAAACTTCAGTTCGCCTGAACTTTATTTCCATCCTGCGCTGCATCGTCAACTCGACGCAAACGGTTTGTACTTATCTCTCTTTTACTTGCAGTTTGGTATACCATGCATAGTGTTCCGCTTTTATTGTCTGAACTCATTATCCTTGTGCTTGGGGGAAACATCGCCGCATGTGAAATTAGGGTTTGCCTTGAAATCCCGGCATTCCTTGGCCTCTCAGTTCACCGCAGTTTATGCTCTCTGTCGCCTGGGCCAAAGTTTCACACAATTCAATGGACCTCAATTGTACCCTACGAAGTTCCCCAGAAGGTTGGACTCCTCACACTCTAATCATTTACATGTCGGCACTGTTATTTATACAGGGGGGAAACAATCGGCCAGTTCTTTTATTTTCCAGTGCATGGATACGGTCGTTGCTGTTGCTGTCAGTAGTTGAATGGCGTGTACTTCCTTTTTGAAATTTCAGACCTAATCAGTACGTCAACTACAGTTTGGGACCTCAAAGGAAAAATGGTAGCTGGTCACATTGTACTGCGCTTGATTCATATCTGGCTATCTGATGAATACATGGGAACGGAGAGCAACCAATTCATGTATACTTTATGGGTTGATGTGGAGGTTGGCATATTCGATTTTCAAGTTAATTCCATGTTACTTATTATGCCAAACTGATACTCATGATATGGTTCTATTCTTTCATAGGAATCTTTAATTGAGGGAGTCACCGACAGAATTGATATGGCTAATATCGAACCACTTCTCGAGGTGGGCCTGCTCTACGTACTGGATGAAGTACCACTAACCGTGGCAAGAAGTACTCAAAGAACTGCAACTGGTAATTTACGCCTTTGCCTTCGGACAGGACTATCATGCAGGAACCTCGATGAAAATCAAATAAAGAAGCGGTTCCCGGTTGATGGATTTAAGAACACAGAATTTGAAGAACTTTACGGGATGGCCTTGGACCCAACGAACTTGGCAGGTAAGGTTTGCCTGCGTGATCAATTTTTCCTCCAAATATTGTTCTGATACTAGGGTCCTTGAACGTTTCCAGATCTCACAGGTCGTGTTTTAGCGATATCAGAACCAGTATACAATAGTGATAGCACTACCTTCATGATGATCCAAATAGAAAACACCAGGTTCATGTTTATAGTCCTTCCTTTTACATTCGAACTTGTGAGAACTACACTAACACTCTCTGCATTCTATCAGGAAGCAAACTGTTGTGATCAATTACACTGCTCCCTACGATGATTTCTACTATTGGGCTGAAGCCGCTGAACTCAAATATCCGGTGGTCGCGACCTTCACGAGCATTTTGTTGCTCAGCC